TCCATAGGTATTGGCCCCTTCCCAAGGCCTGAGAGGCCAGCGAAAGGGATGTTCGCAAGAACAAACTTCCAAGGGTTCTCACCGTGTCTTGTTCTTGGGGGGTCAAAAAGAAATGAGCATCGTACAACAAGCTTATAGCCTGGTTTGATGTCCACAATAATGTAGCAATTTCTGGGTATACAGCCGTGAACGGTTGCAGGGTGGAGTGTAGCCAACGAGAAATCACAAAGGCATCGTATCCTGATCCCCCAAGCGATGGATAGCTTCGTGATTTCCAATGTAAACGGCCCTTGTTGAGCTTCCGCCATCTCAGTGGCAAGCGGCTTTGCTTGGCAAAGGCCCGCAATGAAATGGTCGCTGCTTTCAATCGAGCCTCTAGATCACCTTGGGTGAAAACAATCTGGTCAGTCAAAATGACTCTCAGGGCCGACCCCAAAAGTTGTTGAAGCACACCCAGGTTCCACACATGCAGTAAATCGGGGACTATCACGGATATGTGAAAACCCACCAGCGCACAATATGATGGGGTTATGGCCCATGGATTTGACCGGTACAGCGTTCCCCAGTATTGAGCAGACTCAGACAGGTTTGTATAGCGCATGTTCATGTCACCATCTGCACCCTTCGTAGCTTCGCAAAGGAAGCAAACCTGAACAGGGACATCTTTGGTAGGTGAGATCTCCCCAAAAGTGGAATAGCAAACACTTCCTTCGAACAGGTCCACACCCTACCTCATTGGTGTTCATGTGCCGCGTGAGATTCATCAGTTGCTTGTGGGCTTTCCAGTCCGCTCTAATGGCCATCACAAAGAATCGTAGACGAGCTACCTCACGTGTTTCCAAACATGTGAGCCATGAGAACTACATACAAACATTTATACAAGAAACCATTAAATAGAAAATCTTAACAACTAGTGCTTTAAGAGCGCAACACTGCCTCCACGGGACTTGAAGTCTCTGATTTTTATCCCTTGGTTAGTGAGGACGTTGAACGATGAAGTAATGACCCTGGTAGCCTCTTGTAAGGTCAGATTGACACCGTTTTGGTCCAGGCAGTATCTAGATGAAGGAATCGTAGCTATGGGCCATCGAGAGGCAGTTGCGTCAGTCCGATAGGGTCCCATGTCAGACACCCAAAGAAGGAACATAAAGCTGTCGCCCAGTGCATTAATCTCATCTCCTGGGGCGGCGGCGGCGAGAGACGCGTCAAAGATACCTCAAGATATATGTTATATATATATATGGATGTTTCCATGCGTATGGAACATCATATTTTGGTGGTCTTGACGAGTCTTGCCATCAAAATATGTACCAATTAGCCCAAGGTCCATACAATGTACATCCAACACACGCCTTCATGTCATGATGCTGCACTGGATGATGCGGTAGATCCTGCAACATGCCCTGCCAATAGTCCACACTCTTTGAGAAATCCTCGACTAAAGCTGACAAATAGCCTTCAGCAATCAAAGTACTTGCCTAGGCTCAGGCTCAGCGACTCTCAAGTTTTGGTGTTCTTATATGGGCATCCTATTCTTTTATGGAAAAGGCACTCAAATATACCATTGTGCAAAATCATGAGGTAAAAGAAATGGCCATTGAACCATTTCTATGGTGAAGTCATCTTCAGCTTTCCGCATGGGTAAGGTGACCCACGTGAACTTGACGTCCAATCCAACATCGTTGCGAGCGAACCTCTCCACAAGGCCACGCTCTCGACCAGACCTTTGGTTGTCAAACACAGCTTGAATATCAGAGTTGTTGGATATCAAAAACAAACGAAAACGATAATGAACTTAAAACATTGACCTGTATATCACTCTAGAAGCGTGATCGCATAGGAGTCGTATGCTTCGGCAATCGATCTTGTTTGCGAAACACTCGTATAGCCAGCCCCAAGAGCAAAGGCCAACCTTAGATTTGGCACCTTTGTTCATGTGATTGGGACAGTTCACACATCACACATGGCCCACCGTGCAGTCCGGGAACGCTTCATCCAGCCTCTCGCGGACGATTTTGTTTGAAGCCCCAGCACCTCCACGGGGAGTTGTTGAGTGGAATGTCATTCACAAAAAAGTGAAGGTTGCTAACGTACGGTGAAAGGACATAGCTCTTTTTTTTGACGGGCACTTGTTCGATGAGTTCGATGTACCATTGAAGGTATCGCTCTAGATCAGAGCTCCCAAGCTCAAGCTAAGATGTCGACTGAAGAACTTTGAGAGGACTCACAAAAAATGTGCCAACAAGGTATATGTCAGTGACATCTGTTTATGCAATACGCTGAACAGTATACTTGTTGCACAACTAGTTCTTGAAACATTGTCCTCTCGTGCACGGATTCAGCCATCAAGACCTTTCGCACCCATTTGCATAGACTCATTTTCAGAGTCTTCCCATTGGTGAATCAGGCTGGCGCCTTCCTCATTTCAGCCGCGACCGCACGAGCCTGGGCCCTGGTGAGCCGGGCCGCTTGCACCTGGAGTCGGTGAAAGTACGCACATATATGCATGTGTGCATGTACATTTAAGACAGTAAGTCTTTTAAGTCATGGTCCAGAGTCCACAGAATTTGAACCATAGGGATTCTTTGATAAATACCAAGCCTTTGGAAGGGCCCGCTCTTGAATCGCTTCGAGCTCGGCATCCTCACAGTTCAGACACCTTATCCCCAAGCACTGCAACGCTGTATGAAAAAATGAACCCACAACAACCTCAAAACAGATTCCCAAAAGTTCTATCAATCAGAACGAGGAACTGATTGTTCACTTCCTCAAGCTCCGAGAGATGAGTCTGCAAAGACTCGCGCAGCGGGTGGTCTTTCTCCAAATCGAACTGCGACGTCGCACAACCATTGATCTCCTTCTTCAACGTTGTACCTCAAAACAAGTAGATAAAAACAAAATGAAATCAAAGCTGTATATACTCATGAACTTATGGTACCAAAAAAAGGTATGGAATTTCCAAATAATATTCAGTCATGATACGGAGGGCTGCACGCTGCTCATCATAGGTCTTGGGTTTCTGAGACTCAACCTTGGCCTTGGCCTTTGCCTTCGTTTTCGCTTTCGCCTTGGCCACCACAGTCTGACCAGCTGGCATGTGGCCTGCGCTGACCTGCTGCGCAACCTCCATGAGGTTTGTCATGCTAGGCATCGGAGCGTCGCCACCAGAAGGTTCACCATTGGTCAGCGCTAGCTGAGTGGGCTGCGAGACAATTCCCGGTGTCCCACCCATCAAGCCCATCATGTTTGCTTCAGAGGTCTGCACAGCAAATTGAGTAGAACCCGTGAGCGTAGTGCTCTCTCTCTCAGACATCGATCCGCCAACAGTGCACCAGTACCGAGTGGACAAAGGATCCTGGGGACAGTCCGGATCCGGCTGGGGGGTTCCCACGGGCAATGATGCTGGTGATCTTCATCCTCAGGCCAAAAGAATCCATCCCGCCCAACACGAATCGCTGAACATCCAAAAAAACATGAGGGCACAACAAAACAAAAGGAGCACTGTGAAGATAACAAGGCTCTCCGAAAATCCACGTTCCTTCATCTGAGGGATAGTCAAGAGCTCCCTTCCACGGCAAACTTCTGCCTGCTGCTGGCGGGTCATCGCAACTGTGGTCTCGCAAGCCGCCAAGTTCTCACCGCTCCGGATGAAAGCTTTCAGAAGTTCCAATTTGTCCTCCCATGTGGATTTTCAGGCTGTTCAACATTGACTGTCTACCTCTCACAGCAGTTGAAACCCTGGACTTTTCTAAACCCACAATGGTTTCGAGACAAAATGTCCAAAACAAACGGTTGAGAGGACACAAAAAGGATCACATCAAAGGCTGATGTGATCCCTTTCGCGTCTTCTCAGCCTGTCGGGTCTCCTGGCGTGAGCCATTCCACAGCTTGGACATCCCTGGAAAAGCTGCAGGGTCGGCCTCCATGCGGCGTTTCAGCCTCATATGGGCGGCCTTGTGCGTAGACGTGTTGATCGTAGCCACAGCCGATTCCTCGGAAGGTGGCGTAGGAACCACCGTAGTCGCTTCCATGGGAGGTGGCGTAGGAGCCGGTTCCACAGGAGGTGGCGTAGGAGCCGGAGCCGGTTCCGTGGGAGGTGGTGTAGGATCAACGTGCTGAGCTTCTGGAACGGGAGGTGCAGGAGGCGGCGGAGGAGCCACGGCCTCTGGAGCAGCTGCCAAGGAATGAGCCTTTGGAGCTGCCACGGAGGGTGGCACAGGAGCAACAGGGGCCACAGGAGCTGTAGCGATGGGCCTGCTAGAGCTTGAGGACCCACGCAATGCACTCACAAAGTCCGTAGCGGGAAGATCCAATTGCATGTTGGTAACCAACTGCTGGGCCCATGGTTCCTTCATGACGGAGGTCAACAAAGTCACCGCCTGCACAAACTCTGCCGCTTTCTCCTGATCCACTGCCACATGGGAAGCTGATGTCCCAAGCCTTGGCATGAAACGGCTTTCTCAAAGCAATAAATTGATCCTTTCACTAGAGAACAATGGTGACGACCATGAACAACCCCTCCAAGAAACTCAGACCCGTCGGCATCAGAGCGGGCCGGAGTGTCATCTTGGCCATTGAGATTCACATGTGAAGCCTGCCGCGAAAGAAGCTGCGTCCCATACTGAAGAGTGGTGGCGGACCTGAGGTATACATGGATCAGGCCAACGAATCAGCCTCCGACAATTCTCACAAAATTATGAAAAATAAAAAACGGTATCTGAAGCACAAACAAAAGGTGCAGCAAAGACTTGCTTCTGGGCAATGTCTGCGCTTTGTCAGCAGCAAGTGCAGCAACGCTCTTGGCACTGGGCGGCGTCATCAGCTCTACCGGGGCCTCCAAGGGTATATATGTGAACAAGGTCAAAAGGTTTGAGGCATTGAGGATTTTTGAGAAACACATCCCAACAAACACCCACACCCAACCCTAAAAACAAATAAATGATCGCCTCATCCAAGACCTGAGTTTCCATGGCATCAATCAATGACCTTCGTTCACCAAACGACCCATGCACGGCCGCTGGTGAAACCACGGTGTCATCAACCGCAGGTTCCTCTTCTTCGCCCTCCTGTTCAAGCGAGGTCTGGATGTCTTCCACCTCCTCTGCTTCCGCCTGAGCCTCCTGCGCAACATCCATGGCAATCTCAGCATCAAGCAGCGCTTCCAGCTCAGCATCGCATCCATCCAATGGATCTGCAGCTTCAGTAGGCGCAGCCAGAGGCGACAAAACAGAAGCAGGTGGCACGATCGCCTCAGAATTTGTAAAGATGACACGTCGCTGAGTAGGTTCAGCTTTGGGTTCAGCCACTGGAGTCCTGAGAGCTCCGGCCCTTGGTGGCTCAGGGGCTTCAGCCTTGGGCATGGATGGTGCCACAGCCTTGGGCACGGATGGCACCACAGCCTTGGGAACGGTCGGTGCCTCAGCGGCAGCCTTAGCCTTAGGCATCGGCACTGCCTGCATGGTCAGCTTGGCTGACTTAGCCGGAGGTTCCACAGGATCAGTTCGATCGGCAGACATTGCCTTGAACTTTGTCCAGAAGGCCTTTCCTTCTTCCGAAGGACCACAAATGGACAGCAGCACTTCCGATGCTTCTGTCTCCGAAAGACCAAAGTGTTCCATGACCTTCCCATGATTCTCCCAAGTCACAGGAAAATCAGGTGGACCAGCAGGAGCGGCCTTGGGCTTGGCCTTTGCCTTTCCCTTAGCCTTGGCCTTAGGGACAGGCACTCCCATCACTTCCAACGCATGAGCCATTGGAGTGGCACGCTTTCCCATGGCCAAAAAGGTCGATCCACTGAAACTCGAAAATTAAGGCCTGTGCACTCAAAATGGCATCCAGATATAGCAATATCTCGTTCAACACCATCAATTCACGTTCACCTCCTTGAAAACCTATAAAAAAATAACCAAACCCATAAATTTCAAGAATTCACGTGAATTACGGTTTTTCATGTACATGAGCGATTTTTTCACGTCCCTTTCCCCACATTTTCACGCGACAATGCGGTTAAGATATGTGATGTTTTTTTGTATCGTTAAAGAATCCATTCGCAGTCCTTCACGTATCGTTTTCACGATTTCACGGTTTCACGTACATATCTATGTGATTTCTAGATGTTTTTTGTATGAATCACAATATTTCACTCATGAAATCATGAAAACAAGAAAACACAAAGATGGCGACGTGAAATCACACAACATGGAAATTTGAAAACGTGAAAACGTGAAAAGCGTGAAACCAGTGAATTCACAGAGTCGGATGTGAACACACCAGACTGATAAGAAAACAATGGTCGGTGCACATGTCCATTCATATTGATCTGATATATTACGAGTACACACACAGAGACCGACGGAGAATCGAAATTTCCTTTTTTTGAAGACAGCCCCAATGTCCTCTAATTGAATTGTTCAGTGAAAAGACGCCACCACACGTGGGCATTCCACATGTGTATCATCCACCAGCCAGCTAATCCACAACTAGCGTAAGCCCAATCGGGTCAGGATTTCTACCTTGGATGTCATGGAGTGAATCCATTCCATGTGCTTCAATTTGCTCAAATTGGTCAGGGTGCCATACCACTTGCTAGATGTACACATAGTATCATGAACACCGCTTCTGTACCAGGGTTCGTCCAAGATACCCAACGCCCTGGCACAATGGTGTTCTTGCTGAGGGCCAGATACTCGAGCGCAGGCCAGATATCCGCCTGAGCGGGTCAGAGTCGGAGGTGTGTAAATGGCTTCAGAAATCTCCAGGTTTTATGGGTGACTATGTCTAAAGAAGAGCAATTGTCCATTTGATAAGGTAAACTTGAGTATTGACAAATTGCTACTAATTTTAGAAGTCTTTTTTAGCCATGAACTTACAGAGACGCATGTCCTGGATCCAGGGGTCATCCCATGTATATATGTATGTCATATCCCAAGATTCTTAGAAAGTATTACTATAGCATGTTTCATCCCAAGGCGCTTCAACCCACCGGTCCGCATCTTCCCCAATCAACTCGGGAAGGCAGTGTTGCTCGAAGATCTCAAAGTCGGTCAGGCCAGAGTCAATGTTGGGCCGTTGCGCAAGCGGTGGAGAAAGCGGTTCCTCATTCACCAATTGCGGAGGGATCCACAGGTATGAACAATATAAATTTGTTCTAGCCCCCTGCAAAAAGATCAGTTGGAGTCTTGAGTGAAGACCAACATATGGTGACAGTGGCATTTGACCATTCAACATAAGGACATGATCCAACCGAGTGTTCACTGTTCACAAAAAAATAAAAATGATATTGATATAACCCCAAAGGTCATGTCTAAGCTCCAAAGCTTTATCGCAAAGGAAGGATGCAAAAAAGCTTTATCGCAAAGGAAGGATGCAAACTCAGGAGTGTAATGCCTGAGATCGAAATATGTAATTTCACAGGTACATGAACACATATATATATATATATTTCAGGAAAACACATGGCGAAAAAAGCCAAAGGATAGATGAGTTCAGTTTTGGTACTGGCTTTCCTTCAATTCCTTCTTCAAACCAACACATCTCTTGACTCCCCTGGCGTCCGTGTATTTCTTGACAGTCTGTCCAGCGCAGGCAGTCTGTTCAGCACGGGACATGTAACCAGCTCTAGTGGATAGAGCTTCGGCCAAACGCCGAACATTTGTCCACACCCTGTGGCGCTTTGGTGTGGCGCCTTTGAAAAGGCCCATGTAGAAGTAGGTGGTGTACACCTGCAGGCATCCAAACACACAACACTAGAAGCAGTGAGTTTTGGCTCGATAACAAACGTATGTTCGCTGTGTTTGTGGTTTTCCATTGGTTGTAGTGAACTTAGAATAATATATGATACGCAGTAAAGTTTTTTTTGAAATTCCACTGTAGTGGTCCACAAGATTGAGGAAACTATTGAAGAAACTATTGAGGAAAGATAGGCTCATAAACTGGCCCCTCCTGAACAACACTCCAGAGAAATTGCATTCGTGGCAGGTCCGGTAAAGCAGAGCCATGGGGTTGCTCAAGAACCCAAACCAAAGATCTCCACGAAGCAACCAAGAGAAACAGCGCCACCCGACATCCAAGAACATTTCCTTCATGAACAAAGGTATATCCCTGGTTGCCATAGGGTCGAAGCCAATCACGGCCATGGGTACCACGACTCCTGTAGAGAGAGCAAAGAGTATAAGTCATATGATTTCTTTCTGGTTTCACTCGCAAATTGGTGGAACACATCTTCAAAAACAATATTTCCCTGATGGTGAAACCAATTAATATCAATTTCATTCACGACCACACTTTCCAAACTTTCTAACATGCATACAAAGGATCATTTTGCTGTAGGAACGGCAGTCCAACGCAATCATGACTAGGCCCCCCAGGTCGGCATCTCATCAGTTCAGACAGGGCCAGCCTGAAGCCAATAGGTTGATGTTCACAGAACATACATGGTGGTGTTCCCTATAGGTTGTGCAGCCTAGAAACGCAAAACCTGCCGGGCAGGTTAAGTCGAAGGCATGTTGCGCATAGTCGCGATCAATCGCTGCACCGCGTAGGCCTGCCTGGATGTGGAGAACGACGCAGAGGCTAGACATCCGACACGGATGAAGGGGATGCAGGCTGATATAGGGATTGAACATGGTGTGCAAGCGAGGGGCACATCGCATGGCTTTGGTGACCTCCGCCTTCCCAGAAAACAACTCCAGAAAGTCTCGGTCCTGGGATTGGCTGAGCTTGAAACTTTAAGTGTAATGGATGCTATTAAAATAGAACATGAAAATGATCCTTCACCAACCAGAAACAAAAGTTCCTATATCAGATTCTTGGGCTTGGACTATGATAGAGAAGTCAAAACTCCACAAACCCTGTTTGGATGCATCTCCCAAACCACCAATGAAACAAAACCCTTTGGTTCTCACCAAAAAGCTTGCCATTTCAAGCAAATGTCAACGGTGTGTTTTAGATCAGTGTTCCATTGCACTAGAAGAACAGCCAAGATCAACACAGCCGGAGCCCTCCATTGCAGAAGGTCCCGCACCACCATCAGTCAGACTTTATTTGGAGCCACTTAATGCACACGGTTCCTACCAGTCCAGAATGGCTTACAGGTGGAAATATGTATATGAATCATGAACTTGAAACCTGTGTCACATATCCCTCAAAGACAAAACATGTACATATGTTTTCCTTTTTTCAACTCCAACTCTGCACAGAAGGCCTTTCCCCCGGGCCGGTCGTGGCCAAGTGGCGTGAACAGAGCAAGCAACTCTTCACTCAAGAAGAGAACTGCATAGCGTAAACTAGATTTCAACCACCATTCACGAATCCGTGGACCATGGATTAGTGGTTGCCCCTTTCGGCAAAAAAACGCCGCTTCTTCAGCTCACTAACTGAAACTTTGCCAAGGTAAACCTTTTTGGCTTGACTGGCATCCCATAATTTGAGGGCGTCACGAAAGGAAATCCCTTCACCCTTCCTTTGTTGAATAAAAGCCGATCGAATTGAGCTATAATTCCAATTTGGGATCTTTCGCTTGGACATCTTCGATACATCTCCTTTCCCTGGAGTGGAAGGGGGGCATCAGTCCAGGTTCCTCCGCACGAGACCCATTCTCTGCCACAACACCACTAGGTTCTGTGGCGCACGGTGCCACCATGGGCTCCCCAGCATGTACGTTCTCGCGTTCACGATCAACTTGATCAGCGCGAGTCTTCTCAACTTCACGAACGTATTGAGCGTGCTGAGGAAATGGCTTCACGGGTTCTGACATGTTTTTCTTGAGGACCTCCAGAACCTGATCAGATTCTGGCTTACCCTTACAACACCCACAGTCAAAAACACAAAGGAAACAACAAAAACATCCAAAACCCAAACACAACAACAAAACTATTGTTCTGGAACATATGGCATGGAACATATGATGGCATAACATATTTGTTGCCATCTTCCTGTTTGTTTGGGTTGGCAGGCATAGATGGAGGCTCTATTGTCGTTGGTGGCTTCAATGTCTTTAGGAACTTGGTGACTTGTTCAACCCGAAGCTGTGACGATGAAGTACCATTCCCAACCCCATGCTGACTGATTGGGTCTTCTGCGACATTTGCCTTTGTCTCGAGCTCCTTTCCTGTATCACCACCCACGCTAGAAGGCCCATCACCTGATACCGTCTTGAGGAGGGTCAACTGTTCAATCGCCCGGGAAAGACGTGAACTTGAACTGCTGGTAGTAGAAGATGACAAATCACTCCCTGCACAGGTGGATGATGTACCAGAGGCAAGCTCCGCAATGGCATTGGGGTCGGATGGACCAGAGACAACCTCTAGGGCGCCAACATTAGTTGGAAACAAATCTTACAACCAAACATAGAAAAGATTTGTCACACCAAACAAGCGTGATGTGTAAAAAGATTTGTTCATTCCAACAGGGGTGATGTTTAGGAAACAGGAAACCTTGGAGCGTTTGGTCTTCGAAGGCCACCCCATTGCCACAAGATTGTCCTTGAGAACCTGCATCTTTTTTCATTTTGGATGCTTTGGAGCGCATCATCAACCGCCTTGTTCGCGATACCTTGGGCGTACTGCGCTGATGGGAAACATTCCCAAGGATCATAGAATATCATACACTTAAAGAATAGATTGTAATAGTGTTCCATTCGAGCTACTAGCCTTTGTAGAGCAAGCGCTTGTTTCAAACCCCATTCCATGACACAAGGGAGCTCATTGTAAAGCCCTTGTGGGTATAGGGACTCTTTGGTGTAGAACCTCATGATCGCACCGCGAATCGTGTATGCAGAAAGACGAGCGCTAGCACCAGCAGCCATAGTACCAGCTGCGCAAGCAATTATAGCCTAAGTTTATGTGGCACGGTGCCCCGATATAGTGCAGGGTGTGCATCCCATGTTTTCCTACAAGATATACATTACAAGGATTATTTGATTGAACCATCAAATTATCATCAAATAAAGTCCAGTTTTTTTAACGAGCAACATCATGATTGCTCACCAGGTCTTTCAACGTGCACTTCTGTTTCGTATAGATCTTCCCGGAGTGATCGCACAAGAATGTCAGTCCACGCTGCAGGGTGAATCGAACAATTCTAAAAAACAACGCGGGATTTGTTCTTACAATATCCTGGGATATCTTGGGATCATGTCTAAATAGATAACATACAAAATACACCCATTTGCATCGAACACCGTGGCCTCTTTCAGTCTTGGATAAGATGAAAAGGCGCACGCCAATTTCTCCACGTGTTCAGGCACCTCAGCCTGATCTTCCTCGGGCTCCGATTCCGAAGAAGCCATGGCCCCCCCGACAGCTCTCGATCGCAACCCTTTTGAGCTACCCCAGCTATGGAGTTCAATCCAAATTCACACCGTGGCTCAACTCTGCGTGGAAAGGAAACTGAAAGTTGAACCGCCCCACGCTTTCCGGAGGCACCTGAAGATGAAGCGGTGATGTGGTGGAAGTGAACGCCAGCCTGGCCGTGGACCAGTGAATTGAAGGTAAGGGGTACCAATTTTCAATCATTGATGGCCCATGAAACGGATTCTTGACATCTCACTAAACCATTGAACTGGTGCACCATGGGAGGCACAGATGCTAGATAGGTGTGATATGTTTTATTTGAACATATACTTGTGGAACTCTAGGGTTCACGCCGGGATTCGATCGCGTCATGGATTCTTGGTCGTGGATTCTTCTTGGAACTTGGAAGGTTCCAAACAAATACGCCCCCAAAAATTAAGATCATTGTGTTGGTTGAATGGAAGAATCCAATCCATACAACAAGCCAGCTACCATTTGTTTGAGAGCCAAAGTGCATCTCAACATGAACCCAATAGTGAGAGAGAAACAATCTGATGTCACAATCGTGCAGTGTAACTAACTTCCCAACCCCCATCCCAAACGAAGTCACGTCTCAGGTCCCATCTAGTAGTGTAATCAAATTTAGTAAGTAGATATATTGTCAAACATATATATACATATATATTTAGATATCGGGTAATTGAGGCTCAAGCGCACCTAAGGATGCATCACACATGCAATATGTCTTGTTCATTGCACGCTGGCCCCACAAACAAGCTTGGCGCACCATCCCAAGGACTAGCGCCAGCTGCAAAGGCTTCAATAGGCCACCTGCACCGGCCGCAAACATGACAGCCCTTAAAACATGGAGCTGGGCTGTAACTGTCACTCCATTGGTAGCGGAGCGCAAACACGCATACAGCTTTCAAGGCTTGATCCTCGCCTTGCCAGTGGATGCACATGTTACCACGCGCCCATCCCGGCGCAAAAGGCGATGTCGACCAAGTTCAAAGTTGAAGCATGAATAATAAAGTTCAGTGCAAAAACATTCAACCATTTCTTGCACACAGGCCCATTGCCCATACACATGTGAATGCCTGACATATGTGCATGTTCCACTCCTTGATCGAACGAACGGCAAGCCAAAACGAAAAAATCAATCAGCTTGGCGTACTCCCAAGGTTGGCGTGCAACCACCCTGCGAATAAATTGGACGCGCTCATCAAAAGGGTCTGGTCTATATGGAAAGTTACAATAGTTCCAAACCCAAGCTGAATGGCCAAGTCTGGAAGACCTAGCACATGGAGCGTTCGTAAAACACAAGTAGCCCATGGAGCAGTTGGAGTGAACACCCAAAAGGCACAATTCAAAACAAGAGGCCACCC